TCCTGACATGTTCTTCCATTCATGTTCTCCGCACTGTCTCCCCACACATTTTCCCCACAATGTTTCGCATCAATGTTCTTCCATCATGTTCTCCATCATGTTCTCCTCTTCCTCCACAATGTTCCGCATCATTCTCCATCATGTTCTCCATTTCTATCATGTTCTCCAGTCATGATTTCCCACATGTTCCCCACATGTTCTCCATCATGTTTCTCCATCAGTTTTCCATCATGTCCCACGATGTTCCCACATGTTCTCACATGTTCCCATTCGCCACATGTTCCCACATGTTCTCCATCATGTTCCTCCATCATGTTCCAACATGTTCTCCATCATGTTCTCATCATGTTCTCCATCATGTTCTCCCACATGTTCCCACATGTTCTCCGACAGCTCCGATCATGTTCTCGCCATCATGTTCTCATCATGTTCTCCTATCATGTTCTCCATCCATGTTCCTACACATGTTCTCCATACATGTTCTCGTTCCCCACATGTTTCCATCAGTCCATCATGTTCCTGGTCCCCACTGCGACATGTTCCCCCTGTCCCATCATGCTATCATCTATCGTCTCCACATGTTCTCCTGCCCACAGTCTCATCATGTTGTTCTCCATCATGTTCCTCCCACATTCCCATGTTCTCCATCATGTTCTCCATCATGTTCTCACATCCATCATGGTTCCTCCATCATGTTCTCCATCTCCCATTCATGTTCTCCACATGTCTCAGATGTTCGTCCATGCACGTTCTCCATCAACATATATTCCATCATCGTTTTGACCTTTGACTGGCTCTCTTTAATGACCTCCTCTTCTTCAGTGGTTTAATGGCAGCGACTGAAGACTCAGCTCCACCTGCTGTTTATCTTCCATCAACACAAGAACACATGAAATGTGTCTGGCAAGTTCTCACTGTGTGGTGTGTGTGTGTGTGTGTGGTGTGTGTGTGTGTTGTGTGTGTGTGGTGTGTGTGTGGTGTGTGTGTGTGTGTGTTCGTGTGTGTGTGTGCTGTGTGTGTGTTGTGTGTGTGTGTCGTGTGTGTGTTGTGTTTGTGTGTGTGTGTTTAAGAGGATAGACAGTCTTCATGCTGACCTCCTCCATCAGCTCCGTTGTTGTTATGAACAGACATGGCAGGATCAACTGGCTGAGGTGCGGCATTGTCAGGTGAGTACAGACTGAACTCACTGTCACCATGGTTACGACAGTGTCTGTCACTGGATGAGCAGCATGTCCATATAGACATACGTATATTATGATATAAAGCGTATTAATACATGGTGTTAAAATACAGCATTTGCAAACTGCATTTGAACCACGTTTGTCTTTTAAACTGAGACTGGAGGACGTTCAGACAGGAGGGTAAACAGGGTCACACCTGAAAACAGGTTGACCAGCACACAGGTGAAGGAGTCCAGCTCCATCACAGATCCTCCAATACAAGTGACAGTCGTTCAGTCACATCTCTACTGAAGTACTGGATTTAAAAGTACTGCAGTATTCACAGTACATTTATGTTGTATTGTTCCACATTTACAGAACCAGGTGACTGACTGATGACTGACTGACTGACTGACTACTGACTGACTGACTGATGACTGACTGATGACTGACTGACTGATGACTGACTGACTGACTGACTGACTGATGACTGACTGACTGACTGACTGACTGATGACTGACTGACTGACTGACTGACTGATGACTGACTGACTGACTGACTGACTGATGACTGACTGACTGACTGACTGACTGATGACTGACTGACTGACTGACTGACTGATGACTGACTGACTGACTGACTGACTGATGACTGACTGACTGACTGACTGACTGATGACTGACTGACTGACTGACTGACTGATGACTGACTGACTGACTGACTGACTGATGACTGACTGACTGACTGACTGACTGATGACTGACTGACTGACTGACTGACTGATGACTGACTGACTGACTGACTGACTGATGACTGACTGACTGACTGACTGACTGATGACTGACTGACTGACTGACTGACTGATGACTGACTGACTGACTGACTGACTGATGACTGACTGACTGACTGACTGACTGATGACTGACTGACTGATGACTGACCAACTGAAAACTGACTGACTGACTGACTGACTGATGAATGACCAACTGAAAACTGACTGACTGACTGATGACTGACTGACTGACTGATGACTGACTGATGACTGACTGATGACTGACTACTGACTGACTGACTGATGACTGACTGACTGATGACTGACTGACTGATGACTGACTACTGACTGACTGACTGACTACTGACTGACTGACTGACTGATGACTGACTACTGACTGATGACTGACTGACTGATGACTGACTACTGACTGACTGACTGACTACTGACTGACTGATGACTAACTACTGACTGACTGACTGACTGATGACTGACTGACTGATGACTGACTACTGACTGACTGACTGACTGATGACTGACCAACTGAAAGCTGACTGACTGACTGACTGACTGATGACTGATTGATGACTGACTGACTGATGACTGACCAACTGAAAACTGACTGACTGATGACTGACTACTGACTGACTGACTGACTACTGACTGACTGACTGATGACTGACTACTGACTGACTGATGACTAACTACTGACTGACTGACTGACTGATGACTGACTGACTGATGACTGACTACTGACTGACTGACTGACTGATGACTGACTACTGACTGACTGATGACTGACTACTGACTGACTGATGACTGACCAACTGAAAACTGACTGAAGACTGACTGATGACTGACTGATGACTGACTGACTGATGACTGACTGACTGACTGACTGACTGACTGACTGATGACTGACTACTGACTGACTGATGACTGACTACTGACTGACTGATGACTGACCAACTGAAAACTGACTGAAGACTGACTACTGACTGACTGACTGACTGATGACTGACCAACTGAAAACTGACTGATGACTGACTGATGACTGACTGATGACTGACTGACTGATGACTGACTGACTGACTGACTGACTGACTGACTGATGACTGACTACTGACTGACTGATGACTGACCAACTGAAAACTGACTGACTGATGATTGACTGAAGACTGACTACTGACTGATGACTGACCGACTACTGACTGACTGATCGTTAGGACACTGACAGGTTCAAACATGGCTGACAGTGGAAGAGTTGCTGTGATTGGTTTATGGTCTATAACATTTTCAAAATAAAATAAAATTCATTCACTGAATGAGTCCTTCATAGAAATGTAGTCAAGTCAAAAGGACAATATTTGTCTTGAGTGACGGGTCCTTAAAACTGAGGTCATTTCCACTTTTACCAGCTCAAATCAAAAAACATCACCAGGTGAGATCACACTCACTCATTCTCTGTCCGCAGTCACAGGTGATGCTCTTCTGTCTGACGCTTCATGATCAGGTGGTTTACACCTGTACAGTGATGCTGCTGGGTCAGCTTGTCTTGGGGTTCTCTGGCACCTGGACTCTGACACACCTGCTCTCAGGTGTGAGGACTGACTGTTGTCATGTTTCCTCCTGCAGGAGGCGCTCTCAGCTCTACAGCTGTCAGAGGAGGAGGTGAACGACGTTGTGAGCTCTCAGCTCCTCGCTCTGATTGGACGAAGTCAGAGTCAGGATGAAGAGCGACTGTCTGCGTTAGATGTCAGTCTCATAATCATTAAAGATGATCACAGCTGTAATTAATCCTCCGTCAAGGTTCTGATGTTCATGTTCTAATGTCTGTATGTCTCTCTGTGTTTGTCTGTCTCTTTACCTGTCTGTCCATCTACCTGTCTACAGGTGTGCTGTGACTCTGTGGCCTGTCATGCTCTCAGCCTCACCAGGTGTGTGTTTGTTGTGATACGAGGAGCGACGTTGCTATGGGAGACGCACAGCAGCAGGTTAGAGAGCAGAGAAAAAGAAATGCAGCAACACCTGGACAACCTCCGACACTCACAGCAGCAACACATACAGGTGAGTCAGTCTCTCATGGAGTGAGCATCTGTCAGCAAGTAGGAGTATCTCCCATGATGCTTTGCTGTGGTGTTGTCAGAGGAAGAAGGTGCGTCTGGATGACCTGTTGGCTGGACTCCGTCAGGAGAGCAGTGAGGACACCCTGAAGACGTCTCTGGACAAAACTGTCCTGTACCTGCAGGACGTCAAACACAGGTATGGGAGGACGCATGCTAATGCTAATGCTAATGTTTATGCTAATGATAATATTAATACTAATGTTAATCTTAATGCTAATGTTAATGCTAATTACTGTGTGTGTGTGTGTGTGCTTGCAGCTGCAGACAGTGTGTCTCTGATCAGTGGGAGGTGTTGGAGCATCTCCCCTCTGTCTTTCTGGAGGAGCTCCTCTCCTACAGCAGCAGCCTCAGCTCATTCTACCGACTCAAATATACCTATGCACCGGTAACCATGGCAACCACTCCTCAGACACACCCACACCTGCTGGTAACCATAGCATAACCAACCCCACCCCACTGGTAATAGGGATTAGATTTGTTTTACTGAAACACACAACTTAAGTGATTCAGATTTTAACTTGATGTCACTGAACGCAGCGTGCTGATTGAACACAGAAACTCACTGATCAATAACCTGATCAATACCTGTCATCAGTAAAGCATCAGCCCAGTGTGTGCAGATTTTAGATTCAATCTAAAGTCAAAACTCTATCTAGAAAACATCTTCCTCATCCTCATCCTCACCCTCATCCTCAGAGTCCAGAAGAACTGCAGAACCTCCACCTGTCAACCACCAACCTGGGTCAGTCTGTCTGAAACTCACTGATCAATAACCTGATCAATACCTGTCATCAGTAAAGCATCAGCCCAGTGTGTGCAGATTTTAGATTCAATCTAAAGTCAAAACTCTATCTAGAAAACATCTTCCTCATCCTCATCCTCACCCTCATCCTCAGAGTCCAGAAGAACTGCAGAACCTCCACCTGTCAACCACCAACCTGGGTCAGTCTGTCTGTCTGTCTGTTTGTCTGCCTGTCTGTCTGTCTGTCTGTCTGTCTGTCTGTCTGTCTGTCTGTCTGTCTGTCTGTCTGTCTGTCTGCCTGTCTGTCTGTTTGTCTGTCTGTCTGTCTACGTGTCTACTTGTCTGTCTCTGTCTGCCTATCTGTCTGTCTCTCTGTCTGTCTGTCTGTCTGTGTGTACATGGTTTAAATAAGAAACTGTTTGTTTGTTTGTTTGTTTGTTTCCGTAGAGACCAGGGGGGAGTTTGAAATACAGAAACCAGAGGAAATGACAGATAATCATCCTATCAGCTTTCAGAATGATGTTGACCCCGCCCAGTCCTCTCAGGATTGGCTGAAGGAGGTGAAGCTCTGATCAGTGACAACGACAACCTCTTATTGGTCCAGACAAAATGTTAATGTGTGTGTGTGTGTGTGTGTGTGTGTTTGTAGGCGGAGTACTCTCTGCTGGATCTCTGTGACATCAGCAGCTATGTCAAGTTTATATCGTCAAAGGGCGTGACCTATACTGGCCCCGCCTTCAGTTGCCCAGCCCCCGACCTGCCGGACGACCTGGAGCAAAAAACACACCTGAGCCTGTTTCCTGTGGAGCTGCTCACACACACACTGAGCAGGTACACACACAAACTCACACACACACACACACACACACACACACACACACACACACACACACACACACACACACACACACACACACACACCACAGGTACACACGCAGGTACACACAAAAGCAACACATGCCAACTGAGGAGCACTCTCCATGGCTGACTGTGTGTGTGTGTGTGTGTGTCCAGGACTCGGACCCTGTTCCTGGATCACCTGGAGCAGCATTTCTGTGACGTCCTCAGCTCCTCCTTTGCCATGGTAACAGACAGGAAAGAGGCGGTGTCTTTGGAGCAAGAGCTCCAACTGCAGCAGCTGGACTCCCAGCACATCCAGACCCACATATACCAACCCCGCCTGGGTAACACACACACATACACACACACACACACACGCACACACACACACACACAGAGTCACAGTGGTGTGTGGAGGAGAGTTGTGTGAAGTGTTTGAATGTAAATGTGTGTCTGTGTGTGTTTGTGTGTAGCTGAGCTGCAGCTCCACCAGCGATATGTGGAGGTTCACTGTGAGGAGGTGCTGGACGTGTTGACTTCCTGCAGGACGGAGCTGCAGCACCTGCAGACCTCCATCAGCAGGAGGAACCTGGAGTTCACCGTCACTCTGTCCAACATGGAGGACGGCGTCCGGACGGCTAGCAGCAGCCAACGGTAACAGCTTATCTGTGGTCAGCTGACTGAGTGTAAACACTGAGGACTGCTGTCACAGTGTGTGTGTCTCTGCAGGCTAGAGGCTGTAAGCTCCTCCCTGCAGGACTGTGTGGATCAACACGTCAAAGACACCCAGAGCTGTCAGACCAGCTTCAGACAGACAGTGCAGATCCGACTGGAGGGGGTCAGACAAAGAACGACACAGCTCCTCAGCTCCTTCAGGTAACAGCTGGAACACCTGCAGGACTCACCTGAGCCACAGACACAGTGATGATGATGTTTGTCCTGCTGCAGGTTGTTCAGTGAAGGAGGAGATTTCTCTCCTCATGAGGTGAAGGTGTTGAAGAGGAGGTTGACGGAGGAGACCAAACACATCAATGTGACAGAGGAGTCCATCTGCTCTGAGCTGGACAGGTTCGAGTCCAGGAGTCTACAGCAGGTATGATGTCTACTGTTGTTCTACTGAGGAAACAGGACAAACACCTGAACTCAGTGTTACGGCTGGCTCAAACACCGAACATAATAATGGACACCACACCAGTCGGAAGGTACTGCATATGAATTTATTACAGTAACTGAAGGACAATGCAGGACTAAAGGGAGACCAGATACCTAGCACCTGAAAGGTGGAGAGAGAGCGAGCTGAACAAAGAGGACCTGCCTATATAGACTCAGCCCACTAATCAGCACAGGTGTCTGCCAAACAGATGATCAACCTAAAAGGATCAACAGGAAACACCAAAATAAAACAGGATGTAACAACAGTCAGAGCGACGGCCGTTTTGTTTTTAGGTTGTCCGTCCGTCTCATTCTCGTAGATATGATATCTCAGTAACACCTTGACAGACACAAACATTCACCTGGACTCAGGAATGAACTGATTAGAGTTTGGTGGTCAAAGGTCAAAGGTCAAGGGTCATGCTGACCTCACGTTCTTTGAATGCAATATCTCAGAAAAGCCCAGACACTGTGCCATGAATCACAAATTCAAACACAATTTAACTCATATGTCTGTAAGGTAAAAATTAGGTGATGACTTTTATATCCAAAGGGTCAAAGGTCAACTTACCCGTGACATAATGTTCTGCAAAAACATTTCTGGCCATTATTCAATGCTGTGACGTGGCTGGATGGCGGAGGCACACGACTGTGAGCCTTTAGAAAATATATAAATGTAATTCATCATTGTCATTAGCAACTATTGATAATATGAGTAATAATATAAGTCCACGCGCAGGTATCTTTCACTTACATCGGGTATAACAGGAATAACTTCATAGACATTCATAGACACTTCATATGTTTTCCAAAATCAATGAGAAATCGTGTTGAATAATCCTGATCTCAATATTGATTGAAATAATCATGAGTAAGATTTTTTTGGCATAATGGAGCAACTCTAGTTTAGACTAAAACAAAATGCACCAAACGTCCTCTGTCCATCTGTGTGAGTGTCTCCTGCAGTGTGGACACCTGTGTGCAGCTCTGTTGTTGACATCAGGCTTCATTAAGCTCGTGCTCCTCCTCCAGGTGAAGGAGGTGTCGGGGAGGTTTGAGGAGAAACTCTCCTTCATGAAGTCTGAGGTGACATTCATGGAGAAGATCCAGAGAGTGATCAACAGCTCCCAGGTTCACATCAAGGCTGAGGTACCGGTCTGTCTGTCTGTCTGTTCACCTGTCTGTCTTGCTGTGTATCTACCTGTCTGTCTGACTGTCTGTCTGTGTATCTACCTGTCTGTCTGTCTGACTGTCTGTCTGTGTAACTACCTGTCTGTCTGTTTGTCACCTCAGGCAGCCTTCAGTAACCAGCAGCAGATAGTGATCAGTAGCAGGTTGGAGGAAGTGAAGAAGATGATGGAGAACACACAGGTACACACAAGTACACACAGGTACTCAGGTATACTCAGGTACACACAAGTACACACAGGTACTCAGGTATACTCAGGTACACACAGGTACACAGGTACTCAGGTACACACAGGTACTCAGGTATACTCAGGTACACACAAGTACACACAGGTACTCAGGTACACACAGGTACACACAAGTACACACAGGTACTCAGGTACACACAGGTACACACAAGTACACACAGGTACTCAGGTATACTCAGGTACACACAGGTACACACAGGTACACAGGTACTCAGGTATACTCAGGTACACTCAGGTGTACACACAGGTACACACAGGTACTCAGGTACACACAGGTACTCAGTAGTACTACTGTAGAACATGCACCTAGATAGTTCTTAGTACTACTCCTTCACCACTGTATTAAACAAATATTAAACAAGGTACCTGTCTGTCTCTCCACCTGTCTGTCTGTCTGTCTGCAGGTGTCTCCAGACCAGGTGTGTTCTGTCCTGTCTTCAGTCAATGAGGCCTTGATGAAGCGCTGTCAGTATCTGGACTTTGGACTGGTAGGTCTCCTCTTGTATCTGGTCCACATTTACTCTCTGCTGTCTACCTGGTTTTGTCTGGACCACCACCTGTCTGTAGCTCCTGTCCACCTGGACTACTTCCTGTTTAACTGAATGACCACCTGTCTTTCTGGACCCCCCCATCCCCACTCTTGGACTGGACTACAACCTACCTGGATCTGGACTACCTGTGGTCTATTTGTACTTCCTGTTCTGGACTACCTGTTCAGAACCTGGAGCTCATGTGTTCCTGTTGATGTCGTGTACTTTCTGTCCACCTGGGTCACAACCAGTGTGTTGTCTTTGTGTTGTGGACCCCCCCACCGCAGGAGGGCCTCACTTTGTCAGCTCGTTCTAAGTCCAGGAAGGAGGTCAGGTCTGCCCCACCTGCTGGTCTACTGGAGGTGAGCAGGACAGGTGTGGACCTCCTTGATGACCCTGTTGTGGACATCATCAAGTCCCTGAACAGGTACTGAACCCATTGAGGAACAGCTGGAGACTTACCGTTATGATGATGATGATGATGATGATGATGATGATCTTCCTCCCTCAGGTTCTGTGTGATCCAGGAGGGTCCAGCAGAGACATCAAGACCAGCTGCTGGTAAACAACATCTGTCTGACTGATCTGTACCTGGTCCACACCTGGAGGTGATCTGGATCCAGATTGTAAATGATCCCATCTTCTGTGGGGGATCTGAACACAGTGTGAGCCAGACCACCTCCAGAAGTGGTCCAGCAGATCCGACCTTGTTCTGGTCTCATTAACACGTCTCCTCTGGACACAGTTTAGCTTCACTAACAACAGTCAGGACGGCCACAGGTAAAACTCACCTGTACAGGTGAGGGTCAGTCAGAGAAATGAGCTGGAGTTGTTGTCTTCAAGTACAATGGGGGAGGGGTGGAGCTCCACGCAGACTGGTACCTAGAGCTCAATGCATCATGGGAGTCCCCCCAGCAGTCTAGGTCTATAGCAGCAGTCTAGAGTCCAGCAGGGACCTGGTCTCTGTTTGAGTCCAGCAGGGACCTGGTCTCTCCTCTGACTCCTGGTCTCCTCTCTAATAAAAACAGTCTGTGTGTCTGCAGCTCAGAGTCCAGTCCACCGTCCTCAACTGAGATCTGCTGAGTCTGTCAGTGCACTGAGGTACACACACACACACACACTCTGGATAGTGGTCTTCAGAGCCAGGTTCATCACTCACTGTAAGATAAAGCTTCTGTGTCCTGTGTGTGGGTCAGGGGGGGCTGCAGGTCCATCAGGGCCGACAGGAGGTTCCAGGTTTTTGGACCCAAACCAGAAACAGAACAGAACACACAGTAAGTCCACCCTGATGGTCTGATGTGGTCTGATTGTCTGGTGGTCTGATGTGGTCTGATGTGGTCTGATGGAGTCTGGTGGTCTGATGTGGTCTGATGGGGTCTGATGGGGTCTGATATGGTCTGATTGTCTGATGGTCTGATGTGGGCTGATGTGGTCTGATGGGCTGATGTGGTCTGATGTGGTCTGATGGAGTCTGGTGGTCTGATGTGGTCTGATGGGGTCTGATGGGGTCTGATATGGTCTGATTGTCTGATGGTCTGATGTGGGCTGATGTGGTCTGATGGGCTGATGTGGTCTGATGTGGTCTGATGGAGTCTGGTGGTCTGATGTGGTCTGATGGGGTCTGATGGGGTCTGATATGGTCTGATTGTCTGATGGTCTGATGTGGGCTGATGTGGTCTGATGGGCTGATGTGGTCTGATGTGGTCTGATGGAGTCTGGTGGTCTGATGTGGTCTGATGGGGTCTGATGGGGTCTGATATGGTCTGATTGTCTGATGGTCTGATGTGGGCTGATGTGGTCTGATGGGCTGATGTGGTCTGATGTGGTCTGATGGAGTCTGGTGGTCTGATGTGGTCTGATGGGGTCTGATGGGGTCTGATATGGTCTGATTGTCTGATGGTCTGATGTGGGCTGATGTGGTCTGATGGGCTGATGTGGTCTGATGTGGTCTGATGGAGTCTGGTGGTCTGATGTGGTCTGATGGGGTCTGATGGGGTCTGATATGGTCTGATTGTCTGATGGTCTGATGTGGGCTGATGTGGTCTGATGGGCTGATGTGGTCTGATGTGGTCTGATGGAGTCTGGTGGTCTGATGTGGTCTGATGGGGTCTGATGGGGTCTGATATGGTCTGATTGTCTGATGGTCTGATGTGGGCTGATGTGGTCTGATGGGCTGATGTGGTCTGATGTGGTCTGATGGAGTCTGGTGGTCTGATGTGGTCTGATGGGGTCTGATGGGGTCTGATATGGTCTGATTGTCTGATGGTCTGATGTGGGCTGATGTGGTCTGATGGGCTGATGTGGTCTGATGTGGTCTGATGGAGTCTGGTGGTCTGATGTGGTCTGATGGGGTCTGATGGGGTCTGATATGGTCTGATTGTCTGATGGTCTGATGTGGGCTGATGTGGTCTGATGGGCTGATGTGGTCTGATGTGGTCTGATGGAGTCTGGTGGTCTGATGTGGTCTGATGGGGTCTGATGGGGTCTGATATGGTCTGATTGTCTGATGGTCTGATGTGGGCTGATGTGGTCTGATGGGCTGATGTGGTCTGATGTGGTCTGATGGAGTCTGGTGGTCTGATGTGGTCTGATGGGGTCTGATGGGGTCTGATATGGTCTGATTGTCTGATGGTCTGATGTGGGCTGATGTGGTCTGATGGGCTGATGTGGTCTGATGTGGTCTGATGGAGTCTGGTGGTCTGATGTGGTCTGATGAGGTCTGATGTGGTCTGGTGGCCTGATGGTCTGATGTGGTCTGATGTGGTCTGGTGGTCTGATGGAGGACGTCTGTGTGTGTTTCAGCTCCTTCAGCTCCACAGTGAACTCAGTGCTGTGGAAGACCAATGACGTCCTGCTGTTGGCTGCAGAGGTAAGGGGCGGGACACTTAAAACACCTGCTAGCCTAGCATCAATAAGCTACAAGCGACCCACAATGCACCTGACCTGTGCGTGTGTGTGGGGGGGGGGGGCTTCGCAGTGAATCAGGTTAGATTCTCTCAGGTGTGAAGGACTCTAACAAGGCGTCTCCCCCCTCAGGACTTTTACCGCCGCGAGTGTCTTGGCAGGTTCCAGCTGCTTCCTGATTCTCTGGACCAATGGGCTGACAGCATGCAGCGAAGGCTGCTGGGATACCAGGAGCAGGCCAGGAGGCTTCTGAGCACCAGCAGAGAGGGTACGTCTGTGAGGACCTCCACTGGTCTCGACCTGTCTTACTCTCTACCTGTCTCTCTCTCTGTCTGTCTTTCTACCTGTCTGTCTCTCTACCTGCCTGCCTGTCTCTCTCTCTCTCTACCTGTCTTACTCTCTACCTGTCTCTTTCTCTACCTGCCTGTCTCTCTCTCTCTGTCTGTCTCTCTACCTGTCTTACTGTCTACCTGTCTCTCTCTCTACCTGCCTGTCTCTCTACCTGCCTGCCTGTCTCTCTCTTCTACCTGTCTGTCTCTCAGACCTGGTGGACCAGCTGTCTGTGTTGGACGGCCTGCTTCATTCGTTCCCTGCAGTGTTGATCAGTAACTATGAGCAACAGCAGGAGGCGGAGCTCAGAGAGGAGGTGGGCGGAGTGAGAAGGAAGCTGGAGGAGATTCTGACAGCCAGCGAGCAGGAGAAGGTGAGTACCTGAGGACATGAGGACTGAGGTGTGTCCAGGTGAGTCTCCTGACTCTGTCTCTGTCCTCAGACTGTCAACTTGCATCAGCTGCGAGTGTCAGTGGGGGGGGGCAAGCTGCAAACAGTGATCAGCAGAGAGGAGGGGAGACAGGAGAGGCTGCACAGCGCCGTCTGCTGCTCACACCTGGAACTACAGGTACAGGAGGAGGAGTCACACCTGTAACATCTGTTCCTGTCAGAGTCACACCTGTAACATCTGTGTGTGTGTATGTGTGTGTGTGTGTTTGTGTGTGCAGGAGTGTGTGCGAGTCCGGGGGGAGGAGTTTGTGACATTACTGGCGTCTTTGACGGAGAAGCTGCTCTGTCAGCTGGACGACCTGCTCACACCTGCAGGTAACCGCTCACCTTTGACCTTTGACTGTGATCTGGATCCTGCAGTCGGGTTTCTATCTGTGACTTCGACACCTTTGGCCTCATGTCATTCAGTTTTCATTTTTTCTGTTTCCATAGAAACCAAGGCAGCGTCCCACCAGCACTCTGAAGACAGCACTCTTACCATGGAGACAGGAACAGACCCAGGACAGAGATCCTGCACAGGAAACAGGTAACCAGACCTGCTGACCCACCTGTGACATCAGAGGAGACAGCCGATATTCAGCCAAATATTTATCAAATAATTCCGTGTGTGTGTGTGTGTGTGTGTGTGTGTGTGTCAGGACCTGGTCTGGGATTTCGTACCTGACCCCACCCACCAACATCACTGATGACCTGTCATCCTCTGTTACCACAGCAACAACAGCTTCCATCACCGCAACCAGTTGCACCCTGGGACATCTGACTGTTATAGAACAGAGAGACAAAGCTGTGAAGGTACACACACACACACACACACACACACACAGACACAGACACACACACACACACACACAGACACACACACACACACACACACAAAAGATAAAATTATGTATCTGATTCACATTGTGTGTGTGTGTGTGTGTGTGTGTCTGTGTGTGTGTGTGTGTGTGTGTGTGTGTGTGTGTGTGTGTGTGTGTGTGTGTCTGTGTGTGTGTGTGTCAGCGATTTGAACAGCTGTTCAGGTCGGAGTTGCTACGTTCAGATGATGACAAACGAAACCAACTGAGGAAAATACAGAACTGGAACACACACTGGAGACAAGAGATACACTCTCTGAAACACACACACTGACACATAACGGCTGCAGCTGATTGGCTGTTTGCTGTGTAACCTGTGATGTCACCAACTGTTCTGATGTTTGATAATAAACGACAAGAAAAAGAGTGTCCTGTAGGTGGTGTTTATTTGTCGTTCCACTCGTCATCAGCGAGGAGAGCAGGAGGAGGAGAACAGAAGTGTGTACACGGAGCAGCATGCTCATTTGTGCGGTATCATGCAGTAAGGTCGTCCTCTGATCAAAATCATCTTCATTCTCCCGGGTCGCTCCATATCCACTCTGCTCAGCTGTTTATGGAAGCCGGTCATTCACCCACAACCCAGCAGGAAAAACCAGGACTGGCATATGAGACTGACTGGACTGGACGCCCTGACTGACTGACTGTAAGTCTAACCTCGTTGGTTACTATTTTTGAACTGAACTTTGCTTACATTTATGAACTGAACTGAACTTAATTTTCCTTTTTCTTTCCTTTGAGAAGATTTATCTGAACTAAAAAACTGTGGAGGAAAACCCATAGCGGAATTTTGAGTTGGATTTTTTTTTGTTCTATGGACTTTGGGACTGGGAGGTCTTGGGTATTTCTGTGAAAGTCTTTAAATATATGAATATATTGGTTTTACACTAAGATTTTGTGTTTGTGTTGTTCTTGATGGGTTGAGTATGGTCATTCAGTGTGTCAGGTGTACATTTTGATTGGTGTGCATCCTTGTGAGGTTTGATTTAAATATTTTTTTTAAACTGCAAACGAAACCAAACTTGACTGACTGATCTTAAATACCAAGAGAGAGACCTGGCTGGCACCCCTAAAAAAAAATTTAAAAAAATTTAACTTCAAGTCAAGCTGTCACAATCTGATGGTCTTTTACCGTGACTCTATGTCCAACTGTTGGTTGGTTTCCTGTTTTATTTTGAAATCACTGGCATTGTGTGTCTCATGGTAGTTTTACTTCCTGTCTTTGTCCTGTTTCCCTCCTTTGTGATTGTCTGCCCTGCCCTCATGTGTTTCACCTGTGTTCAGTCACCTGTGTGTATTTAGTCTCTGTGTCTCATGGTCAGTGTCTCTCAGTGGGACAGAGACAACATGAGTAAACATGTATGGATGTGAAGTAAACAATTACCCTATTAGGAAAAGTATGAAACAGTTAAAGGTTAAAAGAAAGAATTCCTTAAGAATTATCTGTTTTGATCATCTCTCTTTTCATCAATAAGTAATACTGTTTGAACCACCTGACTCCAGAACCTTCTTCACATATGATGAAATACTGTGACACGTAAAGAAGTCTTAATATGGGAGGTAGATATACAACCTTTATGTTTTACTATACTAAACTAACTTTTTATGACGCTTTTGTAATGTTTTTGATGCTTTAAATAAATTAAACATTTTATGCCTGACTTTTTTTTTTTTGTTTTTATAAAATTTTTGATGCCTTACTGTCCCCTGACATTTTCATGACTTTTTTGAAGCCTTACTATATTATGACATTTTCATGGCGTTTTTGTATCTTTAATCTCTTTCTATACTATAACATTTTTTCTACCTTACTATACTATTACTTTTTTATGACATTTTTATGATGATTTTATGAAATCTTTGATCCCGTACTATTTTATGACTTTTTATGCCTCATTATACTATAACTTCATATGGCTTACTATGCTTTGACTTTTTATGGCTTTTTATGCCTTACTATACTATGTCGTTTTTATTACTTTTTATTCCCGTGCTGCCTTTAAGTTAAGTTAATAAATAATTTCAATAAGTTAAAGATTATAAGAGTTTAAAAAAAGTGGGTTTCATAAGTTAAAAGGTTAAAAACAATTGATTCATCTGTATTAGTTCATGTTCTGTGCTGCCACCTGCTGGTCACAGATTAGTCTGTAGTCAAGCACATGCTTGCTCGATGCATGTATCTGTTGGAGGCTTCTCTGTCACGCTTCTGCCTTGGAAATCATGTGTCTGTGAGTAGTATATGTAGATTACTGCTACATTCTTGTATTCTTAAAGTATTTACATATTGTAGAGTTTTATCGGGTTAGTTAAACATGTGCTCTGCTAATTTGCAGCAGCTAGCTCTGTTGACAATTGGCTTGTGGGTTGTAGCTATTGTGGTAGTTAAGCTATTTTCCACACAGTACAGTGCCTGTTTTGACATTGTTAAAGCGTGTGTTTATAATATGTCAATTCTACATGTGCATGGAACATTTTGTGTACTGATTTATGTTTTATCTCTGTAATGTTTCAGTTTTACAAACAAAGCAAATGTGGAAATGAGTTTTCAGTAAAAAAAACAAGAAAAGTCAAGCCTTGTGTGTTATTGGAGGACTTCTAAATGTTAACTGGCTGTCTAGCTTTGCATAAGTGAACGCACTGCAAGGTCAGTACAATTCCCTACTAGTACGTTTTTTTGACTGTTTATGCCTTACTATACTAATGAACACTGTTCATTACAAAGAGAAATGTATGAAATCATAACCATTTATTTATGTTTTCTGAATTCATTTCAGAATGTCTGTGTTCAGGTTGTCCATTCAGAGAGCAGATTTTGTACATGAAAATGCTGTTTTAAATAAAAAACAGTAAACTGTGATTAAACAAAGTAATTTATTATAAAACAGGGTGAACACATGAACAACAATCCCTCCTTGTCTGAGGGTCCAGAACAGAAACAGTCCAGAAGATTTCAGGTCTGTGAGTCCACGTTGGAGATCTTATCAATGGACTGAAGCAGATGAGAAACCAAACTTAGAGTCTCTGCTTCCCCCAACAGCTGACTGCAGACAGGTAAGAGACAGACAGGTCAGAGAGAGATAGACACATCTGTAGTCTACCTGTCTGAAAGCACGTACTAACCGGATGGAGGAGTGGGCGTGGCTTGCTGTCTTCTTCAGGTACTCAGACGCCACATGTGCGTTTTGTCTCATCGTCATGATGACCTGAGACTCTGCCGCCTTCAGACTGTCGTTCTCTGACCGCAGAGAGTCCACCTCCACCTGAGACACAGTACACACAGGTCTGTACACACGTTATTTTTCAATCAGCTGTGACTCACCTGATTGAGTGAGTGATGATCAGCTGATCGATCATCACATAAACTCTCTGACTCACCTGCAGCTGCTGCAGCTCCACCTTCAGTTTGGAAACACTGTTCTCTGCTTTCACCGCTCGCTTCTGTCAGACAGACAGGTGAGAGACAGACAGGTCAGAGAAAGAGAGGTCACAGAGACAGACAGGTCAGAGAGAGAGACAGGTCAGAGAGACAGACATGTTTCTTTAGCCAGACAAGCTGAAAGCGGAAACAGGTGTGTCCTGCCTAGAGGGCTAACTTTTTCACTGTTGCTTGGCAACACTGTCAGCTGTTCTGGGACTGAGGTCATCATTCTCAATTTAAATCTTAAATATCAAACATGTTGATGTCATCAGGACGAGTCTGTGACCCCTCTCATTACAGATGATCTGAACTAAACATCCGGATCAGACATCTGGATCAAGCATCTGGACCACCAGGCAACATGGTACCGTCATCAGGTGGAGGTTCTGCTCCACAGAGTGAACCATGCTCTCCAGGTCCTGAGCCTCCTTCTCCTCCTGATGCCTCCTGTGGAGCAGCTCCTCAGAGAGTTCCACAACCCTGACGGGGGGGGGGGGCAGCACAGACACAGAGGCATGATGGGTAAATACTCTGTCTCCTACTGGTCAGGTGGTGCTGTTTTGTGATTGGTCGGTGCTCACCTGCGTTCTTTAGCGTCTGATCTCCTTTGCAGCTCCCTGATGGTTCTCCTCAACAACATGTTCTCCTCCTTCAGCTGAGACACAGTCAGAATCAGCTGTTCACATCATCATCATCACTATCATCACCATCATCATCACTATCATGATGATCATCATCACCATCATGATCATCATCATCATCACCATCATCACCATCATCACTATCATCACCATCATCATCACTATCATGATCATCATAACCATCATCACTATCATCATCACCATCATCACTATCATCATCATCACCATCATCACTATCATCATCAGCATCACTATCATCATCAGCATCACTATCATCATCAGCATCACTATCATCATCAGCATCACTATCATCATCAGCATCACTATCATCATCAGCATCACTATCATCATCAGCATCACTATCATCATCAGCATCACTATCATCATCAGCATCACTATCATCATCAGCATCACTATCATCATCAGCATCACTATCATCATCAGCATCACTATCATCATCAGCATCACTATCATCATCAGCATCACTATCATCATCAGCATCACTATCATCATCAGCATCACTATCATCATCAGCATCACTATCATCATCAGCATCACTATCATCATCAGCATCACTATCATCATCAGCATCACTATCATCATCAGCATCACTATCATCATCAGCATCACTATCATCATCAGCATCACTATCATCATCAGCATCACTATCATCATCAGCATCACTATCATCATCAGCATCACTATCATCATCAGCATCACTATCATCATCAGCATCACTATCATCATCAGCATCACTATCATCATCAGCATCACTATCATCATCAGCATCACTATCATCATCAGCATCACTATCATCATCAGCATCACTATCATCATCAGCATCACTATCATCATCAGCATCACTATCATCATCAGCATCACTATCATCATCAGCATCACTATCATCATCAGCATCACTATCATCATCAGCATCACTATCATCATCAGCATCACTATCATCATCAGCATCACTATCATCATCAGCATCACTATCATCATCAGCATCACTATCATCATCAGCATCACTATCATCATCAGCATCACTATCATCATCAGCATCACTATCATCATCAGCATCACTATCATCATCAGCATCACTATCATCATCAGCATCACTATCATCATCAGCATCACTATCATCATCAGCATCACTATCATCATCAGCATCACTATCATCATCAGCATCACTATCATCATCAGCATCACTATCATCATCAGCATCACTATCATCATCAGCATCACTATCATCATCAGCATCACTATCATCATCAGCATCACTATCATCATCAGCATCACTATCATCATCAGCATCACTATCATCATCAGCATCACTATCATCATCAGCATCACTATCATCATCAGCATCACTATCATCATCAGCATCACTATCATCATCAGCATCACTATCATCATCAGCATCACTATCATCATCAGCATCACTATCATCATCAGCATCACTATCATCATCAGCATCACTATCATCATCAGCATCACTATCATCATCAGCATCACTATCATCATCAGCATCACTATCATCATCAGCATCACTATCATCATCAGCATCACTATCATCATCAGCATCACTATCATCATCAGCATCACTATCATCATCAGCATCACTATCATCATCAGCATCACTATCATCATCAGCATCACTATCATCATCAGCATCACTATCATCATCAGCATCACTATCATCATCAGCATCACTATCATCATCAGCATCACTATCATCATCAGCATCACTATCATCATCAGCATCACTATCATCATCAGCATCACTATCATCATCAGCATCACTATCATCATCAGCATCACTATCATCATCAGCATCACTATCATCATCAGCATCACTATCATCATCAGCATCACTATCATCATCAGCATCACTATCATCATCAGCATCACTATCATCATCAGCATCACTATCATCATCAGCATCACTATCATCATCAGCATCACTATCATCATCAGCATCACTATCATCATCAGCATCACTATCATCATCAGCATCACTATCATCATCAGCATCACTATCATCATCAGCATCACTATCATCATCAGCATCACTATCATCATCAGCATCACTATCATCATCAGCATCACTATCATCATCAGCATCACTATCATCATCAGCATCACTATCATCATCAGCATCACTATCATCATCAGCATCACTATCATCATCAGCATCACTATCATCATCAGCATCACTATCATCATCAGCATCACTATCATCATCAGCATCACTATCATCATCAGCATCACTATCATCATCAGCATCACTATCATCATCAGCATCACTATCATCATCAGCATCACTATCATCATCAGCATCACTATCATCATCAGCATCACTATCATCATCAGCATCACTATCATCATCAGCATCACTATCATCATCAGCATCACTATCATCATCAGCATCACTATCATCATCAGCATCACTATCATCATCAGCATCACTATCATCATCAGCATCACTATCATCATCAGCATCACTATCATCATCAGCATCACTATCATCATCAGCATCACTATCATCATCAGCATCACTATCATCATCAGCATCACTATCATCATCAGCATCACTATCATCATCAGCATCACTATCATCATCAGCATCACTATCATCATCAGCATCACTATCATCATCAGCATCACTATCATCATCAGCATCACTATCATCATCAGCATCACTATCATCATCAGCATCACTATCATCATCAGCATCACTATCATCATCAGCATCACTATCATCATCAGCATCACTATCATCATCAGCATCACTATCATCATCAGCATCACTATCATCATCAGCATCACTATCATCATCAGCATCACTATCATCATCAGCATCACTATCATCATCAGCATCACTATCATCATCAGCATCACTATCATCATCAGCATCACTATCATCATCAGCATCACTATCATCATCAGCATCACTATCATCATCAGCATCACTATCATCATCAGCATCACTATCATCATCAGCATCACTATCATCATCAGCATCACTATCATCATCAGCATCACTATCATCATCAGCATCACTATCATCATCAGCATCACTATCATCATCAGCATCACTATCATCATCAGCATCACTATCATCATCAGCATCACTATCATCATCAGCATCACTATCATCATCAGCATCACTATCATCATCAGCATCACTATCATCATCAGCATCACTATCATCATCAGCATCACTATCATCATCAGCATCACTATCATCATCAGCATCACTATCATCATCAGCATCACTATCATCATCAGCATCACTATCATCATCAGCATCACTATCATCATCAGCATCACTATCATCATCAGCATCACTATCATCATCAGCATCACTATCATCATCAGCATCACTATCATCATCAGCATCACTATCATCATCAGCATCACTATCATCATCAGCATCACTATCATCATCAGCATCACTATCATCATCAGCATCACTATCATCATCAGCATCACTATCATCATCAGCATCACTATCATCATCAGCATCACTATCATCATCAGCATCACTATCATCATCAGCATCACTATCATCATCAGCATCACTATCATCATCAGCATCACTATCATCATCAGCATCACTATCATCATCAGCATCACTATCATCATCAGCATCACTATCATCATCAGCATCACTATCATCATCAGCATCACTATCATCATCAGCATCACTATCATCATCAGCATCACTATCATCATCAGCATCACTATCATCATCAGCATCACTATCATCATCAGCATCACTATCATCATCAGCATCACTATCATCATCAGCATCACTATCATCATCAGCATCACTATCATCATCAGCATCACTATCATCATCAGCATCACTATCATCATCAGCATCACTATCATCATCAGCATCACTATCATCATCAGCATCACTATCATCATCAGCATCACTATCATCATCAGCATCACTATCATCATCAGCATCACTATCATCATCAGCATCACTATCATCATCAGCATCACTATCATCATCAGCATCACTATCATCATCACTATCATGATCATCATAACCATCATCATCACTATCATCATCATAAGATTTAAAAAAGGATTTAAAGTCTGCTCTCCCAGGTTCCCTGAACTACACTCTGATTAATGTTTTGTTTCTAAACATTCTTTCATAGTTTTCTCTGTTCCTCCATAAACACAAGAAGAACAAACAGAGAAGCTGGTGTGTGTGTGTGTGTGTGTGTGTGTGTGTGTGTGTGTGTGTGTTACCTGTTGTACCTGGCTGCTCCTCCCACTCTTCCTCCTGCAGGAGGTGGCAGGTTCTGCCATAGAGGTCTCATCGTCTCCTTCATAGTTCTCTCCTCCTCCTCCTCCTCCTCTCTGCTGGACTTCAGGTTTTGAGGAGAATCTGTTTTGATGAAAACGTTAAAACATTTTTTATTATCATTTTTATTATTATTATTTTCATATCTGGTTTGACATTTTAATTCATTCAGATGATTTAAACTCAGTGTTCAGTTTATTAGGAACAGCCACATCAACCTGAGTGACAATGTTCAGACTGTGTGTTATACTGGACACGCTGAGGTGAAGACCAGTCTGCAGACCTGGTCTGGATTTACCTGTCCCCTTTGTTTCAGGTCTAATAAATAAAACACTAAATCCATGAAGCTGAAGCCACTGTGAGGCATTCAATTTTGTTTGGTTTTCACACACTTGAGTATTTGGTAATTACAATAAAGACATGAACACAGCACGAGGAGACAGTGTGTCAGTGTAACATCCTGTCAGCGCCTCCTGCAGGCAGCACAGTCCACTACAGTCTCCCAGAGCAGGAACGTCACTGAGTCTCCTCCTCTCCTGGGACAAACCATCCAATCAGTGATGAGCAGACAGAACTCACCTGGTCTCCTCCTCTTCATCTTCATCCTCCTCCTCCTCCTCCTCCTCTGTACAGAGGGAGGAGGTGCTGTCCACACCTGACTGGAAGCCCCGCCCCCACCCCTCCTCCTCCTCATCCTGATTGGACAGACAGCGTCAGTAATGATTCACAGAGTTCACATGTCATTACTTCCTGTTCTCATAACGTCAATGATGATGTCACTCTACCTGTGGTGCCAGGGAGGGCTCAGAGAAGAAACAGGTCTGGACGTCAGGGTCCAAGGTCAAGTTCCTGACATCAAACACCCTCTGAGAGCTGCTGGACTACAGACACAGTCAGTCAGTCAGTCACACTGATGTCATGTTCTTCTTCTGCTGCAGACTCTGGTCTTCATACCTGGCCCTGTGTCTGCTCCTCCTGGTGCTCCGGCTCCGGCTCCTGATGTGGATCCTGGTTCTTCCAGCGAAGAAACTCTCTGAAGGAGAACGGGTTCAGCTCCTGATCCTCCACCTCCTCATCTGAAGAATAAGAACAGAGAGGAGTCAGTGCAGACTGTTCTGCTTCACCTGGATGCTTCTCTGCAGGTCTTCAGGTTCTCCCAGTAGACCAGCACTGGACTGGTCTGTTAGCTGCAGGTCTGTTAGCTGCAGGTCTGTTAGCTGTAGGTCTGTTAGCTGCAGGTCTGTTAGCTGCAAGTCATCCTCTTACTATAAACTAGTAACTAAAACTCAGTAACTAGTAACTTTAATAGCAGGAGCTGAGCGCGGAGCAGACAACCGTATAAAGACACCTGTGACCAGGTGAAGTCAGCTCATCATAGGAAGTAAAACAAACATCTGAGTTTCTGTCCCATGTTCTCTTCATCACATCTAACATCAACACTGAGACATGTAACAGACAGATGACCTTTGACCTCTGTGAGCCATCAGCTGGACTCTGATGACGCCGTACAGATGTTGTGTTGTTGACCTGTCCTCGTGTTGTCCAGGTGTCTGACTGTGGACAAATCTCTGTCAGTCTGGACTCACACCAGTGTCATGCCTGATCAGAAAACTTTTCCACTAACAGCAAACTGTGACGTCACCTCAGGATCAGGAAGTGGTTCCAGCTCGATTGTGATGTTTTATATCCAGATACAGAATCTGGATCTGATCTGAACCTGGACCAGCTGCTGACTGGACTCACCGTCTGCGATGATCAGGGTCTTTGAACTCCTCTGTCTGGACATGATGACCCGCAGGTGGACAGTCACGTCCTCGTCACATCATCGATCCTCTCGTCCTCTCGATCCCGCCGTGTCTCTCCTGCTGGAGAAAACCAGACCCGGAAACAAAGCAGATCGCTCCACACTCATGTGATCCGTCTTATAACTTCTCACTGGCTGGGGCCGTCACGTGACATAAAAGTAAAATCCGGTAGACGGAAAAACGTTTCCTTCACGATCCCGGTGAAAGTGTTCCACACGTGTACCGTCTGCGGTGTCCGGTCCGGATCGTTTAGCTGCACAGACCCGGAGGACAGTGCGGCTGCAGCGGACAGCCTGACCCGGTGAGTGCCTGACTGATGTTAGAGCCCCAGTAAGCTCGGCACGGCTCGGCACGGCTCGGCACGAGTCGTCCAGGCGGAAATGTGAAGTAGTTCGGCACGTATGTGGATCCGGATGTTAAACCTGGTCGTTCTGTTCTGGTTTATATTTACCTCTGATGGGGTTGTACATCCGGCTGTGATTGACAGGTGGTGGGCGGGGTTAGCGAACCAGTACGGTGTTGGACTGGTTCTGGTACCGGATTAGTTCCTGCAGCTCCGACACGGTCAGTTCGGAGTGAAAGACTCTCAAACCACAACGAACTCCGATTGAAATCCTCTATTTTAACGAAGCCTCGTTCGCCTGCAGTGACTGACTTGTCGGACGCGGGAAAAGTGAAGTTTTGATTGATGACATCCCTCTGAAAAAGTTATTTCATTAGGAGTCTGTGCCGACTTGAAGAGCCGTGTGTGTGACCTCTGATCAAAGATCCACTGTGGGTTTCTCTGTTGGTGTAATGAGTAGATAGAGGAAAGTATTTTAAACGGTACAGTTGTTAAAGGAAGTTCGGAGTGGAGCAGTGAGACTTCAAGTCTTCACTCGTTTTCATTGTTGCTATTTTTTAGAAATATATGTTTATTCTTCAATTATAGATTTTTTAAATGCGGTTCAGCACTGAGCTCTTTACTGAGGAGGGTGTGTAGAGGGGGAGGGGTCACAGATGACCAGTGTGACCAGTATGATCTAACGGGTTCTAATGTTTCTAATCTGCAGAACTAGAGAATGTCTGAAGAAGTTCCACTTGAGGGGGACCAGTCGCTGTCCACCCAGTCCCCATCCCAGGCCCAGTCCACCCAGTCGCCATCCCAGGCCCAGTCCACCCAGTCGCCATCCCAGTCTAAGTGCCAGTCCCAGCCTGGTTCCAGTTCTTCCAGCGGGCCGACCTCTGGCAGCCAGTCGTCCAGCGGCTCTGGGACTCTGAGCAGCATGGACACCATCCCCGTCACCCTGCCGTCCGTCCCTGAGGAGCCTGAACCACAACCCTGGGGCCGCCTGCTGCCCATGGCCCGAGGCTTTAGGAGCCATGGTGAGCTCATAACATGCTAGCATGGAGGCTAGTGCTAATACTAGTACTAGTTAATACTAATACTAGTCCTCAAGTTAAAATTAATACTAACACTAGTCCTAACATTGGTGTTAATACTAGTTTCTTTGTTTACAGACAGGTACTGGTCCTCTAAACAGTCTGTAAAGTACCTGTTTGTTTACGGTTTGTTGTTTACTTAAAGTTTGTTTGTTTGTTTACAGACTGTATAGAGGACCAGTACCTGTTTGGACGGGACTCTAAATGTCAGTACGTCCTGGACGATCCTGATGATCGAGGATCCAAAAAGTTCAGAATCTACAGCAAGAAACACTTTAGGATCTACAGAGTGAGATTACTCCTGCTACATGCTACATGCTACTGCTACATGCTACATGCTACTGCTACATGCTACATGCTACTGCTACATGTTACTGCTATATGCTGCATGCTACTGCTACCTGCTACTTATACATGCTACTGTTTCTGTTTTCTGACTGATTATATGTGACATTAGAGCCAGTACAATCTGACAGTAACCTGTCTCTCTGCCTGTCTGTCTCTCTGCCTGTCTGTCAGGAGGACAGTGAGGTCTTTGTGGAGGACTACAGTAATAACGGGACGTTTGTTGACGGGATACTGATCGGTAAAGACAGGAAGCTTCCTCTGGTCAACAACGCCGTCCTCTCTCTGGCTGAGCAGCGTAACAAAGGTCAGAAACTGAGCTCAGTGTCAGGGCGGGGTCAATGTCCAGAGGGGCGGAGTCAAATACCAGAGGAGCACAGGTTGTTCTGATTCCAGCTTCTCACATTAGAATATTTGTTTCACCTCATCCTGTCTCTCTCTCTCTCTCTCTCCACCTGTCTGTCTCTAGTCTTTGTCTTCATTGACCTGATGTCTGATGATCAGTCCAGTCTACCTAAAGAGCTTCAGGAGAAATATCTGCTGACTCGACGCATCGGCACGTGAGTCTGACTCGCTTCACACCGCTGTGATGTCACTTCCTGTGCCCTGCATATCAGCTTATGGTGTGTGTGTGTGTGTGTGTGTGTGCGTGCGTGCGTGCGTGCGTGCGTGCGTGCGTGCGTGCGTGCGTGCGTGCGTGCGTGCGTGCGTGTGTGTGTGTTCGTGCGTTCATTCGTGTGTGTTTCAGAGGAGTCTGTGGTGAAGTCAAACTTGCCTTTGAGAGATCGACCTGTAAGAAATTTGCAGTGAAAATAATAAACAAGAACAACTTCAAGTCTGAAGGGGTGAGTCATCTGCTTTCTGATTGGCTGATCCATCCTCCCTTCTTCCTTCCCTTGTTTCCTTGTTTCCTTCCTCTGACTGAACTACAAACATGGTGTGTGAACATGCAGTTTCTCAGACAGACAGGCTAATGTTTCTCTGGACCAATGACAGACAGGCAGTGATCTGCGTGTTTTTGTCCAATCACAGACGGCGACACGAAACGCAAAGACAGAGGTCGAGATTCTCCAGAGGATTGACCACGTGAGTCTGACACCAACGAAGAAGAGACAGGAATGTCATATGGACTGTTCCTTTATGATCTAATACCTGCTGTATCAACCTCTCCTCTCCTTGTCTCCTATCTGTGTCCTCTCTCCTTGTCTCCTCTCCTTGTCACCTGTGTCCTCTCTCCTTGTCTCCTCTCCCTGTCACCTCTCTGTGTCCTCTCTCCTTGTCTCCTCTCCTTGTCACCTCTCTGTGTCCTCTCTCCTTGTCTCCTCTCCTTGTCACCTCTCTACTTGTCCCTTCTCCTTGTCTCCTCTCCTTGTCACCTATCTGTGTCCTCTCTCCTTGTCTCCTCTCCTTGCCTCCTATCTGTGTCCTCTCTCCTTGTCACCTCTCTGTGTCCTCTCTCCTTGTCCCCTCTCCTTGTCTCCTCTCTGTGTCCTCTCTCCTTGTCCCCTCTCCTTGTCTCCTCTCTGTGTCCTCTCTCCTTGTCCCCTCTCCTTGTCTCCTCTCTGTGTCCTCTCTCCTTGTCTCCTCTCCTTGCCTCCTATCTGTGTCCTCTCTCCTTGTCACCTCTCTGTGTCCTCTCTCCTTGTCTCCTCTCCTTGTGTCCTGCAGCCTTGTCTCATAAAGACAGAGGACTTCTATCACACTGAGGACAGTTACTACATCGTGTTGGAGCTGTGAGTCGATGTTTGTCTCCATATTTTCAACCTGTCAGAACTTGATTTAAAGGGCCAGTGTGGTGATTTTCTGTCCTTCCTCTCAGGATGGAGGGAGGTGAACTGTTCCACAAAGTCAAGTCTCAGCAGCAGCTCCGCGAGTCTGTTGCCAAACTTTACTTCTACCAGATGCTCAGAGCGGTCCAGGTGAGCTGCTGTTGCTATGGTAACAGGTAAATATCCGTTTTGCAGCAGCAGAAACATCAGAGAAGCTGGCAGAGGTCAACAGGGTGGGGGCTCACCATCGGCGCCCTGTAGGCAGATCGCTGTGTCTTTATTAGCCCCCGGTCAGCAGAATGTAAAGATCAGGATTTAATGCAGATGTCTGATGCAGCAGAGGATTGTGGGTCAGTTTGTTGTTGGATAAACTGAAAACAGAAAACAAATGTTCCACAGGATGTGTTTCATTCGTGTGTTTCATTCATGCGTGTGTGTGTGTGTTTGTTTTCAGTACCTCCACAGTAACGGGATCATCCACAGGGACCTGAAACCAGAGAATGTCCTGCTGTCCTCACAGGACGACGTCTGTCTCATCAAGGTACACACAACTGGAAATTCAGCAGGATCCAAGCTGCTGAGTTAATGTTTTTACAGTTATTGATGTGTGTGTGTGTGTGTGTGTGTGTGTGTGTGTGTGTGTGTGTCAGGTGACAGACTTTAACCAGTCCAGGATCCTGGAGGAGGCCGTGTTGATGAGGACTCTCTGTGGGACCCCGTCCTACCTGGCTCCTGAGGTCTTCACCCACGCCTCCACCACAGGGTATGGCCTCGCTGTGGACGCCTGGAGCCTCGGAGTCCTGCTCTTCGTCTGGTAGGCTCACTCTCACACCTGTCTTACCCTCATCTTTTTCATCAAGTGTTAACCCGTTTCTCTCTCTACCTGTCTCTCTCTGTCTCTCTCTCTCTACCTGTCTCTCTCTCAGTCTGGGTGGTTATCCTCCGTTTCATGAGAGTTTTGGTCGTCAGTCCATCACAGATCAGATCATAAGAGGGGAATTTACTATGGTTCAGTCCAAATGGAAACACGTCTCTGATCAAGGTACTGTAACAGGTATTCTACAGGTATTTATTTTGTCATCAGCCTGTTTACTGTGTGTGTGTGTGTGTGTGTGTGTGTGTGTGTGTGTGTGTGTGTGTGTGTGTGTGTGTGTGTGTGTGTGTGTGTGTGTTACAGCGAAGGATGTGGTGAGGAAGCTGTTGGTGGTTGATCCCAGTAAGAGGATGACTATAGAAGAAGCTCTGCGGCACCCCTGGTTACAGGTAACTAACTCCACCTGCGGTAACTTTCACAGTAAAAGTACTTTAATAAAGGACATTATCAAGGTGCATTATTGGAAATGTAAGATCCGGTGTTTTTGGATTACGTGTCAGGACATTTCTATTTCTGATTGTTTGTAGGATCGAATGATGATGGAGACAGCTCACAAGCTGATGTACCCCCCTGGACACCCCAGTGCCGCTATGGTAACCACACACACACACACACACACACACACACACTGTTAGTAAAACTGATCCTGTCCCTAACCCCTCCCCCTGCAGGAGGCGGAGTCAGCCTCAGGTTCCTCCAGCAGGAAACGAGGACGAGATGGAGAAGAGGAGGAGGAGGAGGAACATCCAGCCAAACGGAGCCAAGCCCCACCCCCTGTTCCACTGTAGTTGACCAATCAGATTGAGCTGTTCCTCAGGTCATGTGATTCAGCCTGTTCACTACTGAAACACTCCACTGTAAATAATTTGTAATGTTTTCTAATAAAGTCTTTTATATTTTTCAGTCTGTCTGTTTTCATGTTTAAAGCAAAGTCAGTTTCAGTGTGAGCATCAGTCTGACAGGTACAACTGATGAAAGCCACAAGACACTGCTGAAAACAGTAAGTGGACCTTGAGTGAAGGATCTCCTGCCTCTGTTCCAGGATGAAGACTCAATGACAAAAACATTGAGTCTGAGTTTTATATTTTCTCGTTACAGATCATGTCATTAAAACTAACTTTGATGCCTCAGTATGTTGTTGCGTTCTATTTACATATATATTTACAGTGTAGTGTATAAAGTCAGTTTTAGTGTCGTCATGACGACAGTGATGAACAGCTGTCAGGAGTAATACAAAGGATTGCAATGTCAAAATAAACTTTATTTCTCTTCTTCATTTTTCCTGTTACAGTGATTTAATCTGATTATTATTGAATTCATTTGATCTGATTATTAAACTGATCTGATCTTAAACTGCAGCTGTGAAATCTTTAGTTTCACTGGATTTTCCTGCAACATCAAAATATTGTTACAACAGCAGAAACTAACCTAACCCACTGACCTGTGTTGTGTTCAAGTGCCGTAGGAAAGTTGGGATATCTAGCTTTTGAACCTTTTCATGTGGAAATTCAGACTCATTCATCACTTATCAGATTATTGATCATCAGACATTAAAGTTAAAGAGCTTCAGCTCCTTGCACCTTCTCTTCTTGCTTATTGGTTTTCAGGTGTTAAACAGTCGGTCGGTCAGCTGGAGGGTAACTGGTTATTGAGATAAAAGATCAGCCTCAGACCAAATATCATCCTACATGTGATGTTCCTCCTGAGCTCAGCTCTGATCAGAAAAACAACCAATCAGATCAATTAAAGTAAAACAACCAATCAATCAGATCAATAGAGGTAAGGCTCAAGGCTCCTCTTTCAGTCTCCAGGCCATGCCCTCTGTGTGACATCACTCCTTCGGGCCGTTGCTGTGATGACGTCAGAGCTTGGCTAGGCGGCGGTCTCTGATGGCATACAGGATGGCGTGAGCTTGGTCGAAGGCGTCGCCAACGGCCGACTGGACTCTGCTCCTCCAGCTCTGCAGCTGAGGACGACCCAGCAGGATGTCCCTGCCACTGCCCACCGGCTACAGACACACCCACAGGTTAGCAAGAGTAAGTCATGGAGCAGGGCTTAGTCTACAGTCAGCTGATCATTATCTAAACCAATCATAACCTCTGACCTGCATGAGCTCGCACACAGCGAGCAGGTCGGCCACAGTGATGTCATCGCCGCAGAGGAAAGGCTGTCTGCGCAGGAACATGGACTCCAGTTTCCCCAGAGTGTCGTCGAGCTGAGAGAGCGCACGAACCAAACGCACCTCCTCCACCGGAGAGCCAGACTGAGCCGGGAGGAGCACCTGAGACGGGCCATGACAGACACGGGTGTGATCAGGGCCGTCGGATCACTTCAACACTAATCAATCAGACTATTGATCATGTGTGTGTGTACCTCCAGTATAAAGACTTTAGCAGCGTGTGGTCGTGTGTTGCTGTGATGCCAGGCTGTGTATTCGTCGACTCGGGCTCGTCTCTCTGGTTGCCGTGGATACCAGTGCTCTGGGACGTAGTACTTGGTGGCCAGGTACTTCAAGATGGCATCGCTGCCCCACACACACACACACACACACACACACACACACACACACACACACACACACACACACACACACACACCACACACACACACACACCACACACACACACACACACACACGTTGAAACTTTTTATTTTTGTGAGGACATTCATTGACATGATGCCCCCCCCACCCCCCCCCAACCCAGACCTGGCTTTGATGTCAAACTCTGCTATGTGTGCGTGCCTGTACCTCTCAGTGAGGACGAAGCCGTCGTCCACCATGACAGGAACCTTCTGCATGGGGTTCAGCCTGGTGAAGTCTGGAGTCCTGTTCTCTCCTGTACAGTAGAAGAAGACCAAACTCCATTCAGAAATCCCGTGATTTAAGGCTCGCGCCGCGGTGTTCACCTCAGACCCACTAGTGTTCAGAGGTGGTGACGAGCAGCAGCACCAGCTCGTCCTGTCCATCCGGCATGACTGCTCCTGAACCACTACCTGCTCATTGACCTCAGCTCCAGCTCTGACCTGTACAACTTTCCCCGCTGAAAGCCCGCAGTGTGTTAATCTGCCTGGATAAATCTACAATGCAAAAATTACATTTCTATTCTCGTTTAAAACGTTATTAACATGCCGAATACACTAGAAGCCGCTGTTAACTTGTGTTATATCTTCAGCTATGTTCTATCAGTCTTACTGATCCACATTTCACACGTTCGCGTTGAATTGTCATTTATTTAAATAGAGTTTTGTTGAATCGCGACGAGCGCTACGATCCGGGTCAAAGTTCACGGGGCGGAGGTCACGAATAAGAAAGTACAGAGCAGAAAAAGTCAGACTTCAAACAGCTGACCGCCTGCTAACTGAGCACAGTGCTGACCGGTCAGTCATTGGGTCAGTTAACTAGTTACCCACTCGGTTAGTAGCTGGTTAGCTGCTCACCTTTCCTTAGAGCCACGGTGCGGACTCTATGCGGGATTTTGGCGCAGTTCAGTAGGATGTGCACCGCCCGGCAGGGCTGGGACAGGAGGTCCAGATATACCTCCACCAGCCGGCCCGTTGCCATGGAGACTGAGCTGGTCTTTAACGGTTAAAACGGTAAATAATCAGAGGGTATCACCAACAGCTGCTGTTCCTCTGACAGTCTGTGCGCCTCCCGCAGGTCGCTCCGCGCACTGCAGCTGCTCCTGGTCCAGATAAATAGAACCGGGGCAATTAGTTCAATATAAAAACAAATACAATAATACAATACATAATGCAGTACATACAATATCAAACAGAAATACATGAATAAAATAATACAAATAAAACAATATTCGTGTGTATTCTTATAGCTGTGCTTCTCTGGGCTCAGTCTAAATCTACTAATGTCTTAAATCTATTATTATATGAAGTCATCCTCCTGTTTCTTATCGATTAATTGAATTATTTTATCCCATTTTTACTGAACCTCATTGTCACCCCACCACCAATCTGTATTTTATAATTTGATCTTGTCCTGTAAAGCACTTTGTGACTGTGTTTTGAAAGGTGCTATATAAATAAAGTTTATTATTATTACTGTATACATATATAAAATGTGATATAATGTAGTAGACAGGCTACATGTAAATACTGTGTATGTAAAATATTAGTCATAAATAATACATGCATTTTAGTTTCATAAAAAATGGAGATAAATAAATGACCATAAAAGTCAGATACAAACAGAAAATCAAAATCTATCTCTCCATAAATATAAATCTTAAAAATCAGTACACACACATGCACAGAAAAAAAACATAACTTTCCTCACAGCTGCAAAATTGTAAATAAACTGACAAAAAGATTTTGGAAAATAAAAACTGATGAAAAATTCAATTTTTTTAAATGAAATGTTGCTAGAGAACATATGCAGTCTACTGTAAATATCAGTATATAACATGTACTGTTAACAGCATGGAGCTGGGACACTGTGTAATGTGATTATTAAACAACAATAATTTATGAGTCAAAGTTCATTCATGAAACGTTTCAGCAGGTCAGAGGTGAAGTGGTGTCTCAGTCTCTGGGGGGACATTTCCTTTTTAAATAAAGCCGGTATGGGATGTTTAACTCCATATCTGGTAAACTTTAAAGCCAGGAGTTCTTCTTTTGTGTACATTATTTTCTCCATCGTCAGACGAAACGACGGTGCGGAATAAAAAACATCAATCGACAAAAAATATACTAATATATACAAATATACTGCAAAAGACTATGCGGCCTTGCCGCCACTTGTTGCCAGCGAATCATTTGAATCTAATGTGCTTGTATATTTTCATTGCAAAAATGAAAGTGTCTTGTGGTTAAAACTGTAAGAAACACTGACCAAACACTGTTGTGAGGGAGGAGTGATGAAAGAGGGGAAGAGAGCTGGATTGCCCATTTGAGCCCAAAAATTCACACTAAACTAAGTGTGTTTATTTTCCTATGTATTTTGACCTTCTTCCCTCGCCGTCTGACTTTCTGTCGCGCTTGCGCACTAGCAACGACGTTGCTCGCCACATTCTTGCTCAGTGGCTAGCTAAAACTAACAGTGTAACCTCCGTCTGCGATCAAGCACTGAATCTGTATCTGTCCATACCCGGTCCAGACGAGGTTCAGGTTGTTAATACGGTACCGGTTCTGACCCGCGGGACCTGCACTGACCGCAGAGGCCACTGTTAGCTCGTCGTTAGCATCAGGGGCTAGTTTAGCTTTAGCTCCGCTGCAGCAGAATCAAAACAAACTGAAGCTAACGGCGGCTAGCAGCCAGCGAGCAAGACAACATGGCGACGGAGGAGAAGAAACCAGAGACAGAAAACACCAAACAGCCTTCAGCGTCCTCGGGCTCCGGCAGCAAGGTGAGTCTTGCGGACAGTCCTTCCCCTGGGACCGTGGCTCTGTGTCGTCTGATTCATGACGCGGTGAAAAGAGGCTGTGGAGCAGCTTCAAAGCATTTTCTGTTTCCATAGGCAGAATAAGAGATTCGTGAATCTGACACTGAATTACTCTGGTCCAGATGGTTTTGGATTCAGACCTGGTCTGATGTGGTCTGAGCAGAAAACTCTTAATCAATAATCCTTCAGAAGTTAGTCCAGTGATGATCTGCTGCTGAGCTCAGTGACTACAGTACACCAGTGTGTCAGTGGAAACTGATGTGTGTGTGTGTGTGTGTGTGTGTGTGTGTGTGTGTGTGTGTGTGTGTGTGTTTTCAGTCTAACCCGGCAAAACCAAACTACACAGTGAAGTTCACACTGGCCGGACACACAAAGGCTGTTTCCTCCGTCAAGTTCAGCCCCAACGGAGAGTGGCTCGCCAGCTCCTGTAAGACACACACACATACACACCACATAATAACACATACACACAGTAACACACATGCCACAGGGTGACAATGAAACTGTCCACGCTGTGTTGCTGTAATGGTAATGATCCGGTAACCATGGTAACATCTCTGTGCAGCCGCTGACAAGCTGATAAAGATCTGGGGAGCATATGACGGAAAGTTTGAGAAATCCATCGTGGGACACAAACTGGTGAGACACCCCGGTCCTGAACACAGTCTGGATTCAGACTGGTTCTGGTTCTGATCCTGGATCTGTGTGTTGTTGTGTGTGTAGGGGATCTCTGATGTCTCCTGGTCTTCAGACTCCAACCTGCTGGTCTCCGCCTCTGACGACAAAACACTCAAGATCTGGGACAACAACTCTGTAAGACACACACACACACACACACACACACACACACACACACACACACACACACACACCATGAAACCTACAACAACACATCAATCACATATTTCAGTTAGATATGATCATTTTAATGTATTTATTTCTCTCTGTGTCTCTCTCTCCCTCTCCAGGGGAAGTGTCTGAAGACTCTGAAGGGTCACAGTAACTACGTGTTCTGCTGTAACTTCAACCCTCAGTCTAACCTGGTGGTGTCAGGATCGGTACGCAGCTCTCTCTCTCTCTCTCTCTCTCTCTCTCTCTCTCTCTCTCTCTCTCTCTCTCTCACTCTCACAGAGAGACGTTAAACTCTTCCTGTCTGTCTGCAGTTTGATGAGAGCGTTCGCATCTGGGACGTGAAAACAGGAAAATGTTTGAAGACTCTGCCGGCTCACTCTGACCCCGTCTCTGCTGTAAGTCCCGCCCTCTGACCTTTGACCCCACTGCTGTTGTGATGGACAGTTATTCTGTGAATGACTCAGGTGTTGGTGTGAACTCTGAACTTCTGTTCCTGTCATTAGTTCAGTGACTTAAAGACGACACATCCTTTAATATTTAAAGTCAGATATTTTTGACTTACCTCTTCACTGGTTCTGAGAGATTCTTGAGCTCCACCACAGACTGTGGATCATGTTCAGGTCTGGGACTGTGAGGGTGGTAACACCGGCAGTATGTGCTCTGAGGTGTGTTTGGGATCATAAGTCTGAGACCACGGTTATCTACATTACCTTTAACTTCACTTCATTTTCTATCCATTCTTTTCATTCTTGATGAATCGTTTGATCTGTCAGTCCCATGTTGATGCTGATTTATCAGAAGCTTTTCTTAAAAATTGCAACAGAAGTTGCAATGTTTTCAGATGTTTTTTTTGCAAATGAAACTGCAGGAGAAAGAAGCGATTCTGCTCCTCCAGACTCTTCAGTGACGATTGGATCTTCAGGTTCTTCAAATGTAGATAAAACATCAACGTGATCATGTGACTGTAGATATTTTATTTCCTCTGGAGAACAGAGGCAGTGGAGCGTCGTTCCGGAGGCTTCGGCAGCTCTACACCTGTGGTTCCTCCACAGTGTTGTACAGACCTGTTTAACCCTTTCATGTAAACCATGGCTGAACGTCTTCACACGTCTTTAACAGTGATGTTTGTTGGTGAACGTGACACATTCATGTCACACGTCTGCAGCTTCACAACATGGTTCAACACCACAAACAGGGAAGTGAGTTTGGTGACATCATCAAGGTTTTGGTCAGGGACTGGTCTGATTGGTTCAACTGGAGGATTGATTGACTGATTTTTGTTGTGATAGGACAGAAATGAGCACAGAGTTCACGGGAAGTGGTTGAATTTGCGTTAATTATTACGATGGAGACATCGAGACTTTCTGAAGGGACTGATCTGTGACCCCGTCTTTGTGTTCTCCAGGTGCACTTCAACAGAGACGGCTCACTCATTGTCTCCAGCAGCTATGACGGCCTCTGGTACATCTCCCCACACACACACACACACACACACACACACACACCACATGAAACCACCTTGAGACCACCACACTGCTGGTAATAACAGTCTGTCTGTGTGTCTCTAGTCGTATCTGGGACACAGCGTCAGGACAGTGTCTGAAGACACTGATTGGTGAGTAGAATATTACAGATGAACCCTTTAATGGCAGTAAAATCACAGCAGTGGAAAAGAAACAGGATAACAAGTCGTGATGTGACAGTAACCTGAGTCTCTGTCCTCAGATGACGACAATCCTCCGGTGTCTTTTGTCAAGTTTTCTCCCAATGGAAAATACATCCTGGCTGCAACTCTGGACAAGTGAGTGACATCACAATGAGCAGCTGTGCAGGTCACACTGTGGACATGACATTAAGCTCTTCTTTAAACAGTTTAACATGAGTTTATAGTTCATGTAAGATTGTCTGTTTGTCTGTCTCTAGCTACATGCTAACTCACTAAAACTTAGCTAGGATCATTTTAACTTCACTAACACTTAGTTTGGCTAAAATAACGCTAGCTAACTTTCAGCTAGCCTCGTGTTACCAATGCTAACACAGCTAGTGTCATTTTAACCGTACCAACTCTTAGTTAACATCATGTTAACTCATTAACAGTTAATGTTATCTTAGCCTTATGAAAACTTAGCTGATGTTAATGTTACAAACATCAATTCACTTCACCAAATCTTCAAGTTAACTTTACTAATACTTAAATGAAGCCAGCTAAGTTTTGTAAGACTTAGCTAGCTCTATGCTAACCTTGCTAACAGGCTTAATGTTCGTTGACCATTAGTAAATCTTTCTGTATAATTTATTCTGCCATGATATTTGCCAGCGATTGTAAAGCTCTCAGGATACTCAGTGCTGCATTCACTGACACCTGAAAATATATGTTCAGCTTTATTTAGAGGAAAGTGGAGCTCTGAAGGTTACCTGTCCTCCAGGTGTGTCAGTGTATTTCATACAGTTAACTCTGTGTTCTCTGGTTCACAGCACGTTGAAGCTCTGGGACTACAGCAAGGGAAAGGTACGTGTCTGTCTGTGTACGTGTCTGACTGTCTTCCTGTCTGTCTGTATACCTGTCTGTCTGTGTGCCTGTCTGTCTGTGTACGTGTCTGTCTGTGTATTTGTCTGTGTCTCTGTCTGTCTTCAGCAGTCTAACCTCCTGTCTCCTCCTCAGTGTTTGAAGACGTACACCGGTCATAAGAATGAGAAGTACTGCATCTTTGCCAACTTCTCTGTAACAGGAGGGAAGGTAAGAGCCTGACAGGAAGAACGTAGGGCAGAGAGGCCCACAGCCCTCTGCTGAGTACTGAACATTACACAATAACACCTGACAACTATAACAACTGACACAACAATAGCAACTGACAATCAGGCGACATCACAATGAAACTGCAAGAATGGGGGACATTGTGCACTTGGCTGGTTTAACCTTTGACCTCTGTGTGTGTGTGTGTGTGTGTGTGTGTGTGTGTGTGTGTGTGTGTGTGTGTGTCAGTGGATCGTGTCTGGCTCTGAGGACAGCATGGTTTACATCTGGAACCTTCAGACCAAAGAGATCGTGCAGAAACTACAAGGACACACAGGTATGAAAGTTTACCTGAGCAGGACTTGGTCCCTAACTTTGTCTCCTAGCCTCCTTTTCCTTGGTCAGGTATCACATGTCTGATGGGGGAGGTCTCCGAGGAGGTCTTTGGTTTGAGATGTTGAGCTCAGTGTGAAAACAGGAAGTAGCAGAAGAAGAAGTTTAGTCCGGTTGTAGTCCGGTCTAACCTGACTGTGTCTCTCTTTAGACGTGGTGATCTCCACCGCCTGTCATCCAACAGAAAACATCATCGCCTCAGCTGCTCTGGAAAACGACAAGACCATCAAACTGTGGAAGAGTGACTGTTAGACTGAAGCAGACCCATTGATCCAGATCCACATCCTGAACTGAACTGGTTTAACTTGGTGTGTGACAGTCACACACACAAACACACATTCTGTGAGTAAGATTCACACAAAGAGCCAGAACCGGGTCAGACCAGGTCCCAGTGTCCCAGCTCAGAGGTCAGAGGTCAGTGAAGTTAAAACTCCGGATGTTTGTATTATGTTTATTTAACCACAGGAAGTCCTCAGGTAGAGGGCGGAGCCTATGTTTAGCTCACCTGGAGGGAGGAAGAGGCTTTTATTTTTGATTTCCTGTTTGAGTCTTTAAGAAGCTTGTGTTTACTGTTGCTGCTGTTTCCTGTTGCTTAAGAAGCAGTACTTCCTCCCTCCCTTTCACATTAAAGGCCTTCTAGTAGTTTAGGGGACAGACTCATTTCTCTTCTCAAAGATTTTTATTGTTTAAAAAATCATAGTTTTGAATTTCTGTTTTTTAAGATGTCGTTTACTTATGGATTTATTTATCCCATCACAACCAAGAGAAAACTAACGAGGTAATCAATACTTCAGTAGATTAAAAAAATGGGTTTTTTTTAAACGCTTGTCCAAACATAATAATCTTCATATGATTCAGGTCAGTGTGTAAAGATGCAGACAGAAATCTACTGAGTGAACAACAGCCCCAAATAGAGGTCACCCTGATGACATCACTGTTACATCATCAGACCTTTGACTCACAGACCAAGGTGGGAAAAAAGTGTAATGGCCCTTGAAAAACATTTGATGTTACCTTAATTAATAACCTTCAATTAAAAAAATAAGTTAATTAAAAAAAGTAATTGAGAAAATATATACAATAATATGATGTCAGATTAATGTTGCTAGGAAACCGTTTGACAGCTGGGACACACCTACTAGCCTCTGACTCGTCAGTTGCTGCAGTAACTGTGTGTTTGTGTGTATGTGTTGTGTTCACTGACTTTCCGACCTATAGGTACATTTAACAATAACAAACAGCATCTTCGTCGTCATCATCGCCATCACCTCTGTCAACTGACCGATCAACCGATCAAACAAATGATCAATATTGTTTGGAAGGATTTTTTTCAGTTATTTGTACATAAAGATTTTTGACAACAAGCTGTCTGGATGTTTTTAATTGTGAGTGAGTGAGAGAGAGACAATAATGATAAAGAGATAAAATACACACTGAATATCCTGATGACTATTATATTGTCTTGACCATCATTGGTCTGTGTGGAGCCAGGATGCTGTTACCTTAGCTTAATGACTGGAAACTGGTAGCCTTGCTCTGTCCAATCATAAAGTGAGACATAAAAAGTCATGTAAATGAAATTGTATAAAAAGGCATGAAATCGTCATTCTACAATAAGGCATGAAAGATATTTAAAAATTCATAGTATAGTAAGGCATAAAAAGTTATTAAAAATTCAAAGCATAGTAAGCCATATGAAGTAATAATAAAGTAATGCATAAAAAGTCATAAAAAAGTCATTGTACAATAAAGCAAAGATATTTAAAAAGTAATGAAAATAGTCACAGCATAGTAAGCCCTATAAAGTTACAGTATAGTAAGGCATAAGAAGTCATGAAAACGTCCAAGTATAGTAGGGAATAAAAAAGTAAGCCATATAAAGTTATACTAAGACATAAAAAATCATAAAAGTCAAAAGCATAGCAAGCCATATGAAGTCATAGTATAGTAAGGCATAAAAGTCATGAAAAAGTGACAAAATAGTAAACCGTATAAAGTTATAATATATTCAGGCATAAAAAGTTATAAAAAAGTCACATTATAATAAGCCATATAAAGTTATATTATAGTAATGCATAAAAAGTCGTAAAAAGGTCATTGTACAATAAGGCATGAAAGATATTTAAAAAGTCATAGTATAAAGGCATAAAAAGTCATAAAGTCTCAGCATAGTAATCCATGTAAAATTATAGTATAGTAAGGTATAAAAAATCACAAAAACGAAATAGTATATTGAGGCATAAAAACAAAATAGTATAGGGAGGAATAAAAAGTAATAAAAACGACATAGTATAAAAAGTCGTAAAGCATAGTTAGTCATAAAAAGTCATAGTATAGTAAGGCATAAAAAGTCCTGAAAAAGTTATTGTATTGTAGGACATGAAAGATACTTAAAAATTCATAGTATAGTAAAACATAAAAAGTAATTAAAAAGTGACAAAATAGTAAACCGCATAAAGTTATAGTATATTAAGGCATAAAAAGTTGTAAAAAAGTCACAGTATAGTAAGCCATATAAAGTCATAGAATAGTAAGGCAAAAAAAGTAATTAAAAAGTAACGAAATAAGAAGCCATATAAAGTTATAGTGTATTAAGGCATAAAAAGTAATTAAAAAGTAATGAAATAGTAAGCCATATAAAGTTATAGTATAATAAGTCATGAAAAGTCATAAAAAAGTCAAAGCATAGTAAGTCATATAAAGTTATATTAAGGCATAAAAACAACATGGTATAGTGAGATATAAAAAGTCACAAAAACAACATAGTATAGTGTGGCATAAAAAGTAAAAAAGCATTGTAGTATAATAAAGCAAAAAAGTCTTAAAAAAAAGTCTAAAAAGTAAAAAAAAACGTCGTAGTATAGTCAGGTCTAAAAAGTTATAAAGACGTCATAGTATAGTAAAGCATAAAACGTCATAGTATAGTAAAGCATATAAAGTCACAAAAATGTCATAGTATAGTAAGTTATAAAAAGGCATGAAAAGTCATAGTATAGTAAGGCATAAAAAGTCATAGTACAGTAAGGCATAAAACGTCATAGTATAGTAAGACCTAAAAAGTCACAAGAGCATCATACTATTGTAAGGCATAAAACGTCATAGTATAGTAAGACCTAAAAAGTCATAAAAACGTCATATTATAGTAAGGCATAAAAAAATCATAAAAACGTCATAGTATAGTAAGGCATAAAACGTCATAGTATAGTGAGGCCTAAAAAGTCAAAAAAATTTTATAGTATATTAAGGCATAAAAAGTCATAGTATAGTAAGGCATAAAAAGTCATAAAAACGTCATAGTATAATAAGGCATAAAAAGTCATGAAAACGTCACAGTATAGTAAGGCATAAAAAGTCACAGTACACTAAGGCATAAAAAGTCATAAAAATGTCATAGTGTAGTAAGGCATAAAAAGTCATAAAAACGTCATAGTATAGTAAGGCATAAAAAGTCATACAAACGTCATAGTATAGTAAGGCATAAAAAGTCATACAAACGTCATAGTATAGTAAGGCATAAAAAGTCATACAAACGTCATAGTATAGTAAGGCATAAAAAGTCATACAAACGTCATAGTATAGTAAGGCATAAAAAGTCATACAAACGTCATAGTATAGTAAGGCATAAAAAGTCATACAAACGTCATAGTATAGTAAGGCATAAAAAGTCATACAAACGTCATAGTATAGTAAGGCATAAAAAGTCATACAAACGTCATAGTATAGTAAGGCATAAAAAGTCATACAAACGTCATAGTATAGTAAGGCATAAAAAGTCATACAAACGTCATAGTATAGTAAGGCATAAAAAGTCATACAAACGTCATAGTATAGTAAGGCATAAAAAGTCATACAAACGTCATAGTATAGTAAGGCATAAAAAGTCATACAAACGTCATAGTATAGTAAGGCATAAAAAGTCATACAAACGTCATAGTATAGTAAGGCATAAAAAGTCATACAAACGTCATAGTATAGTAAGGCATAAAAAGTCATACAAACGTCATAGTATAGTAAGGCATAAAAAGTCATACAAACGTCATAGTATAGTAAGGCATAAAAAGTCATACAAACGTCATAGTATAGTAAGGCATAAAAAGTCATACAAACGTCATAGTATAGTAAGGCATAAAAAGTCATACAAACGTCATAGTATAGTAAGGCATAAAAAGTCATACAAACGTCATAGTATAGTAAGGCATAAAAAGTCATACAAACGTCATAGTATAGTAAGGCATAAAAAGTCATACACACGTCATAGTATAGTAAGGCATTAAAAGCAATAAAAACGTCATATTATACTAAGGCATGAAAAGTCATAGTATAGTAAGTCATAAAACGTGACAGTATAGTAAGGCATAAAACGTCATAGTATAGAAAGATATAAAAAGTCATAAAAACGTCACAGTATAGTAAGGCATAAAAAGTCATAAAAAGTCACAGTATAGTAATGCGTAAAAAGTCATAGTATAGTAAGGCATAAAAACGTCATAGTATAGTAAGGCATAAAAAGTCATAAAAAGTCACAGTATAGTAATGCGTAAAAAGTCATAGTATAGTAAGGCATAAAAACGTCATAGTATAGTAAGGCATAAAAAGTCATAGTATAGTAAGGCATAAAAAGTGATCAAAACATCATCGTATACTAAGGCATAAAAAGTCATAGTATAGTAAGGCATACAAAGTCATAAAAATGTCGTAGTATAGTAAGGCATAAAAAGTCATAAAAACGTCATAGTATAGTAAGGCATTAAAAGCAATAAAAACGTCATAGTATAGTAAGGCATAAAAAGGCATAAAAAGTCATAGTATAGCAAGGCATAAAACGTCATAAAAATGTCATATTATAGTAAGGAATGAAAAGTTATAGTATAGTAAGGCAGAAAACGTAACAGTATAGTAAGGCATAAAATGTAATAGTATGGAAAGATATAAAAAGTCATAAAAATGTCACAGTATAGTA